CACATGAGAACTCACACAGGTGAGAAGCCGTACTCTTGTGAAACCTGTGGGAAAAGTTTTAGTCAAGGAAGTACTTTGAAAGTCCACATGAGAACTCACACAGGTGAGATGCCTTACCTTTGTAACACCTGTGGAAAAAGATTTACTGTCTTATCACAGCTTAAAAATCATATGACAATTCACACAGGTGTGAAGCCGCATTCTTGTACAACATGTGGGAAAAGTTTCTGTCATCAGGATAAGTTGGTGCGTCACATGAGAACTCACACAGGTGAGAAGCCGTACGTTTGTAACACATGTGGGAAAAGATTTTCTGACACATCAACACTTAAAAGGCACACAGCAATCCACAAAGAGGAAAAGCCATATTCCTGTAAAACCTGCGGAAAAAGTTTCAGTCAGGGAGGTCATTTGAATGCCCACATGAGAACTCACACAGGTGAGAAGCCGTTCTCTTGTAAAAGCTGTGGAAAAAGTTTCAGTAAAGGAGGTAATTTGAAAGTCCACATGAGAACTCACACAGGTGAGAAGTCTTCATCCTGAAACATCTGTGGAAAAAATAATTTAAACAGGTTGAAAGTTTTACAGCAGCTTCAGACTGTGCTTCAACAATAATTGTGAGGAAATATGTCAGCAGTCNCGTGTCTCTCCTGATCGGCTCCGCCCAGCCTGCAGTGAACAGAGGCACACCCACCAAAACACAAAGACAGACAAAATCCCCAAAACACAGTGAACCCAGTATATGACCCTTAGTGTCACAGCTTGGCCAACTACATCACATGCCATAAATATCACTCAAAGGTGATGATTTCTTATGGGTTAACACAAAAGATCGCTGGCCCTTTGACACAAATAAAATGTATTTATTTAGAACCAAGTAGGCTACAATATTTTTGAATTAAGTATACAATTCTCAAGACTAGTAAAATAAATGACCATACACCCATCTTCAAAATGTGTACCTTAAAACGCAAAAGTTTAAAAGTTTTATTTTAGAAAAAAATCAGACATGAAACAACCAGCAACAGCTTTTATTGTTTTGTGGTCAATAAAGTAGCACACAAGTCCTCGGACTCCAGAGCTCTGTTTCTCACTGATGAGACAAAATGGAAGAAAATAGCAAGTATATAGCAAGCCAAAAGATTAACAGTGACAATAATAGAACAGCTAAGTTTCCCCACATAGAATAGCCTAACATAATTGACAAAGAATCAGATCAGTAAGGGGAATCGATAATGGCATTGGTATTAACAAACTTTCAGATTCAGATTTGTTTTATTGTCATTGCAACAAGTACAACGAAACGTAAGGTGCAGTCCTTTCAGTACAAAAAAAAAATAAATGCAAAAACATAAGAACTTGAGTAAACACTATATACAATATAAAGGAAATATATATATACATATATAAACAAGCAACAAGAAATGAATCTATATAAAAAGATGAAATTAAATAATGAGAACAGTGTATATTGCACAGAGTGGATATTGGGCAGAGGTAGTGGAGTTGTATATTGTAGAGTGGAGTTGTATATTGCAATATCTGTGGTTGAACTTACCTCCATATTTAACAACAGATTTATGGTGGCCTTGTAAGTGTGAAATTAGGGCATGGTATGGCCCTGCCTTGTGGCACATTGGGCACTGAAAAGTGTCCACTCCCAATTTACAGAGCTCTGAGCATGTGCCCTCCCTAAATGTTGTGATGTTGGTTTATAGGAGAATAAAATATGATTAAAAAAACTCATAGGCCTACTTCCTCACTTTATACATTTTATTCTGAAAAGAAATAAAAGGAACTGTAAACTACACTTCAATCAAACTTAATCAACACACATATCACCAAAACTATTCTTTGAATATATTTTTGCTAAAGGAAAAAAAAAAAGCAAAAAAGAAGCTTGATATGTTGAGTTAAATGAAAATACAAATATTCTAAGTATATGGGCTGTGTTCCCCCACTGCTTCTGTTATCATCCCTTGCTCACTCATTACTCTGACTTTCATATAGTCTAACACATGTAAAAGCCGACACACTGATATTTTCAGGGTATTGAGTTTTGAGAAATAATTTATTTGAAAAAAAGTAATTAATGCTCTTTCTGCAGAACAGAATGTCTTAAACGTTAACAATAAATTAAACGTCAATATCTTCCCAAAATGTAAACGACCTACGTGCTGCTGTCAACTGCAGTCGGTTGGGAATGTACAGTTAGAATGACATTAAGTGTTAATTTAATGACATTAAATGTTAACTTAGACATACACCTGAATCGGCATTGACATCTTCTTCTTCTTCTACTGCTTCNCAGGAGGACCCAGAGCCTCCACAGATGAAAGAGGAACAAGAGGATCTCTGCACCAGTCTGGACCAGGAGGACCCAGAGCCTCCACAGATGAAAGAGGAACAGGAGGGACTCTGCACCAGTCTTGAAGGAGAGCTGCTTATACGAAATCAGGAGAGTGATACCTTTATAGCAACTCCTACTTATAAGGAATGGGACCACAATTACACAGAACCAAGCAGTTACCAGCTACTCTGTCACAACTTTTTTGTAGCTGAGAGGTCAGATCAGGAAAGAAGCAAGGATGGAGACTTGGGACCAACTACAAATGCAAAGCTGAAGCCAATGAAGACACATCAAAGAAACAACAGTCACAGTAACAATATAGACAACACTCCCATGGCTGAGAGTCATTGTGAAACTGACACAGGGAGAAAGACTTTCACATGTGAGGTCTGTGGAAAAGCCTATAAAAATAGTAACAAGATGAAGAAACATTACAGGAGTCATACAAATGAGAAGCTGTTTGCTTGTAAGTCATGTGAGAAACGTTTCAGCTATAGAGCTCAGCTAAAAGTCCACATGAGAACTCACACAGGTGAGAAACCGTACTCTTGTAAAACCTGCGGAAAAAGATTTTCTGACCCAGCAGCACATAAAAGGCACATAGCTATCCACAAAGAGGAAAAGCCATATTCTTGTGAAACCTGTGGGAAAAGTTTCTGCCGTCAGGATAATTTGGGGCTTCACATGAGAATTCATACAGATGAGAAACCGTACCCATGTAGCAATTGTGGAAGACGATTTAGTTTCAGATCCTATTTGAAAGTCCACATGAGAACTCACACAGGTGAGAAGCCGTACTCTTGTGAAACCTGTGG